TTTTCAACGTTTATTTATTTTTGGGACAGAGAGAGACAGAGCATGAACGGGGGAGGGGCAGAGAGAGAGGGAGACACAGAATCGGAAACAGGCTCCAGGCTCTGAGCCATCAGCCCAGAGCCCGACGCGGGGCTCGAACTCACGGATCGCGAGATCGTGACCTGGCTGAAGTCGGACGCTTAACCGACTGCGCCACCCAGGCGCCCCTGAAATTTTTAATAAGTCTTACTGGCTGGAAGTTTAACTCTATTTAGGCTTTGTTGTTGTTGTTCTTCATGGACAAGGTTTTTAAGACTATTTCTGTGCAGGCCAGAGAGCAAAGATTTTAGGTGCTGCAAATCATTTATTCTCTGTTGCAACTATTTTAACGATGCTGCAGTGCAAAAATTGCCATAGACAATATGTAAACAAATACGATGCCTATGTCCCCCCAAAACTTATAAAAACAGTGGGCTAGTTATGACCTATGGGCTATAGTTTGCAGATCTGTGTTCAAGAAGGCGGTTTGCCTTATAATTAGCTGTTTGTACTTTCATATAAATTGGAGAGTTAGCCTGTCAATTTCCATTGGTAGACAGCTTGAGATTTTGAATGGGGGTTGCATTAAATCTACAGATTTGGGGGGGAAATGACATCTTTACCCATTTGAGTCTTCTGATTCATGAACATGGTATAGTCGTTCATTTATTGAGGTGGACTTTAATTTCTTTTGAGAACATTTGAAGTCTTCTGGGTGGAGATATAGCCTATCTCTGACTAGATTCACTTGTAGGCGTTTGGTGTTTTCCTATTGTAGATGGTAAATGTCGCTATATTGCCAACCTCTCTAAAGCTTAATGGCTTAAAACAACAAGACATATCTGTGTTGGCTGGGAGTTCCTTCTGGTCTTGCCTCGGGTCCCTCACCAGTCCACAGTCATCTGATGGCTTGACAGGGTCTGGAAGTTCTAAGCTGGCCTCACTTAAATGCCCGGCCTGCTAGCTGTCAGCTGGGATGCTTCCACTCTCTTCCACATGGCCTCTCATCCTCCAGGAGGCCAAGGGTCAAATTAGTTTTCCAGAGTTTGTCCAAATGTACATGATGGCAAATGCAGAAGCTGAAAGAGGCCTGAATGCTAGTCTCAGAAACTGCACAGCTTCGTTGCTGAATTTGATTGGTCAGAAAAAGAGAAGGACATCTCAGACTTCAGAAGTGGGGAAACAGACCTCATCTCTTGATGGAAGGAACAGCAAAGCCATGTTGGAAAGGGGCACGGATGCAGAAAGGCGTGATTTTCTGCAGCGTCTAGGGAAGGCAAAGGTTTCGGAAGACACAAATGACTTAGAAATCTTCAGAAAAGGTTTCTGAAGACACAAAATGATTTAGATGGAATGACCAAAAATTTAAAAGTTGCAAGTAACAAGTGGCGGCAAAGATAGGAAGCAACAGTAACTCTTGTACACACTTCTTCATGGATTACAAACTGAAACACCATCTTGTAGAAAACTGGATGGGTAGAAGTTGCTAAAGTTGAACGTGTGTATGCCCCATGACCCAGCAATTCTACTCCTAGATACTCAACAAACAGTGGACCTAAGTACACAAAAGACAGGCACAAGAACACACATGGCAGTGTTACAGTACCCCACCCTTCTCTGTGGCTTCAGTTATCCAAAGTCAAGGGCAGTCCAGAAGCAGACTATCCTCCTCTGAACTGTTGACAGAAGGTCAACAGTAGCCGAACGCTACGTCATAATGCCTGCGTCTTTCATCTCTCCATCTCATCAGGAAGGCATTTTATCATTTCACATCACAACAGTGAGGGTGAGTATAGTACAAGAAGATATTTTGAGAGAAAAAGAGACCACATGCACAGCTTCTATTACAGTCTATTGTTATAATCGTTCTATTTTATAATTATTATATATAATTATATATTTAATTATAATATATATTAATTATAAATTATATAAATATATATTATATACAAACCATATAAATATATAAATTATATTAATATATATTAATATATTTAATTTATATTATATACAAATTATATATTATATATTTATACAAATATATAAATTTATATAAATATAAAATATATATAATATATAATATATAATTATTATAATCGTTCTATTTTATAATCTTTTACTGTGCCTACTTTATAAATTAAATTTCATCATGTACAGGAGAAAACACAGTCAGTATACATAGGGTTCCAGTACTATCTATGGTTCCAGGCATTCAGTGGGGGTCTTAGAACGTATCCCCTGTGGATAAGGGGCGGACTACTATATTTGTAAGATGACCAGATCTTGCCCGATACTGCCCTGATGTTGAAAACTCTTTCCTCTTTACCAATTTGCAATTCTCTCAGTCCAAATGTAAGATTCCTTCCTCCCTTATAAGGGGAGAAAGCTCTTAATAGAAGTATTTTCCTATAGCATGTTCTTGCCCTGAAAGAATCCCCCAATCTAAAATTACCATCTCGTCAAGGCCTAAGGTCAGATCTCTATTCCATGAAGTTTTCCTAAATAGCCCAAAGTGACCTCTCTTTGGAAGTCACAGTAAATGGCATCTGGTCTGTTAGATCTGCACAATTCTGCAGAGTCTCTGTCATTGCCAATACTTTAGCTATAAACTGACACTTTCCTTTTGTTGCTAATTATTCATATACAGTATCTGTGCCTTATATTCTTACCTTGTATACTAAGGGAATAAGAGACAGGTTTTATACTTTTCCTAAGGCCTTTACATGGGATATTTTTTTTAATCAAAGAAATTTTTTTAAATTAGTTTCAGATCTAGAATTTGGCGATTCATCACTTCTATACAGCAACTGGTGCTCATCACAGGAAGGGCTCTCAATACCATCACCCATTTAGCCCATCCCCCACCCACCTCCCTTCCAGCAACCATCAGCGTGTTCTCTGCCATTGGAATCTTTTCTTGGTTTGCCTGTTTTGATCCCCTGTTCATTTGTTTGGTTTCTTAAATTCCACAGACAAATGAAATCATACAGTACTTGTCTTTCTCTGACTGACTTATTTCACTTAGCATAATACTCTCTAGCTCACGTCACTGCAGGTGGCAAGATTTCATCCTGTTTTTATGACTGAGTAATATTCCAAAAACGATGGAACGCTTCATGAATTTGCATATCCTCCTGGCACAGGGGCCATGCCAATCCTGCGAATCTTCTCCGGATGGTTCCAATTCAGTATACGTGCTGCTGAAGTGAGCGCTACATGTAATGTTTAATACTAATTAATGGAAGATCCATCTATTCTAGGAAAAAAATGCCTACTGTATACGGTTTGTGTGAAAAAAACTTTTAAAGCTTTTCTGCCCCTGCTAATTGAAAACATTTACTCTGAGGGAACAGAACTACTGCTATTCTGCAGGGCCAGATTGGAGCTGAAGAAACCCTTCCCTGCAAGTAGTATCTAGAATCGACTACATGCTTATTCTTCCCTTTGCTTGCCCACATCCACAGCGCTGGAAAAAAGGTCCCAGCTTTGTCACTGGTTACAGATTTCTTAGATCACGATACCATTATGCATTCTCCGAGAAGTACAGCTTTTCTTTCCCCACTTGCAATGTTGACAGCAGCTATGTGGTCTCCACATTGAGCTTTTTAAATTTTTTTTTTTTCAACGTTTTTATTTATTTATGCGACAGACAGAGACAGAGCATGAACGGGGGAGGGGCAGAGAGAGAGGGAGACACAGAATCGGAAACAGGCTCCAGGCTCCGAGCCATCAGCCCATAGCCTGACGCGGGGCTCGAACTCACGGACCGTGAGATCGTGACCTGGCTGAAGTCGGACGCTTAACCGACTGCGCCACCCAGGCGCCCCCACATTGAGCTTTTTAAAACGCTGCAGTTTTCCACCGTGTTCTCAGGTTCTTAGAGGGCTGGTTTCTAAAAGCTACAGATAGGAACCCACTGAACACAGAGTTCCAGAGGCCCCATAATTCTCAGTAGAACCCTGAGGCAAGTGCCAAGAGGACCTCTTCTATCTGGGCTACTCAGCTGCCAAGTGCACGTTTCCGGGGTCAAAAGCAAACTCGTTTTCACATGGTGAAGAGACTGACCTGCTCAGCTGCTTCTCTTTTGGCATTGTAGGTATCCAGATGCTCTTGCAACTCCAAAACACTGAACTTGAGTGTTTGCAGCAAACCGCATGACGTCAGCTGTCAAATCAGAAACATTGGTCCAGGTTATCATTTCTGATCACAGTCATGAGACCGACAACTTTTGGATCATGGAATTTCTGATAACTGGTTTTTGGCCCGACTTCGTGCCAGTGTCCCTTACTTCACTCTGTCCCATACCAAAGGCTGACCTTTCACTGAAACAGAGCAGGAATACAGGGGGATTTCTGGGGTGCCACCAAGGATGACCATACCTTCAAATGCTTTCAAAAACTGCCTTAGGTGAGAAATGGCATGTCAGACCGGTATATACCTTTAAAGGTAAACTTTTGAAGCTTGTTAAACCTTAATTCTCTGAATATCTTAATACATAATCTCTGAGTGTGTTTTAACACAAAATGGGAAGACCAAGGGGCCCTGGTTTCTTCATGGGAGTAGGTCTAGCCCTCTCCTACCATGGTTATTCAAGAATCAGAGGGAAAGTACCTATCTCTAGAGCATGACTTTCTAGCTTCCCATCTATGACTCTGAAGAGTGATGAGAGGGAGGGGTCAGAATCAGAGTCACAAGTCACTGCATATAATACACCGGAATTATATTTTGCTGGATATTTATAGTCAAATATATAAAATATAAACCTGTACACCTCATTCTTGATTTTGGCTCAGGTATCTCACGGTTTGTGGGATCGAGCCCTCCATTGGGCTCTGTGCTGACAGCACGGAGGCTGCTTGAGATTCTCTCTCTGCCCCTCCCCCTGCTCACACATGCGCACTCTCTCTCAAAATAAATAAGCAAACTTAAAAAAATACTTACTGTTTCAGCATCCACAAAGACTGTTGGGCATTCTGAACACATCATCATCACTTCCAGTGAACTTTTAAATTTGGTACCAATGCGTTGCAGACTCTCACCAAGAAAGCTGACTGCCTCATTAGTTATGTCTCCAAACTTTCTCTGAATTGTCTATGGAAAAAAGCGTAAAAAAAAATTTAGTATTTCATAAGAAGGCCCTTTTCATCTTTAACAAGCATCATTTGTAATCAGGGCAAACTTTTCTCTTAAAATCATTATTGTAGTGGGGTGCCTGGGTGGCTCAGTTGGTTAAGTGTCTGCCTCTTGGTCTCGCGGTTCGGGAGTCTGAGCCCTGTGTCGGGCTCTGTGCTGACAGTGTGGAGCCTGCTTGGGATTCTCTGTCTCTCTCTGTCCCTCCTCGGCTCATGCTTTCTCCCTCTCTCTCTCAAAATAAATAAACTTAAATAAATAAATAAAATCACTGTCGTAGTGATATACAGCATTCTAATAACTGGTCTGTAAATCCGTGTTTTTAGGCTTTTCTTTGGAAACGTTAATTTCACAAAATGATCAAAGATTTACAAAACAGCACTACTTAGAAAAAGAAACTAATGATACATGCCATTCATCTCCCCATTCCTGAGATTTCTTTCATTGGGAGAGACAGAAGGAATACATGCTGCACATCACGGGGAATAAAGTCCTTACATGTCTGGAGAAGTAGCTCTTCTAATGCTCTACCTGAAAGAAACTTTCAGTAAATGTGGTTTACTGTCCTGGGCTCTGAGCTGCCATCGGATTTAATTAAAGTCATACATATGCATTAGGGGTAATATCTTCTCAAAACTCAAGAATAGTCATTAACATAAAATAATCCAATCGTGCCTTACCCACAATGAGCACTCAGCGAATGAGACTATATTGTCAATGGCATAGTTATAGGATAACATGTGCCTACATGGGCATGTGTTGCACTGTTGGGTGCCGTTATGATTTAATCACAATAAAAGCATCAGCTACAGTCTCAGGCATCAGGAAACAATATCATTGGAAAGAAAAAACTACTAAATAGGAAACCAAGGAGCAGGGCAAAAGTCCAGAATAAAACAAATGCTCCAGCCAATGAGCGTAAAGAACTTCCGGGAGGGAGAGGCTGGCGGTTGCCATAGGTGGGAAAGCTGCAGTGAGAATACGTCCTTAGCTAGGTCTTCCCAGATGGGCAGCATTTGCTTAGGTCAAGAAGAAGAGCGGTACACAGTTCAGCGGATGAGGACTTAAATGGCATTTCTTGGTGCCTTAGTTTCCCCAGCTACAGAATGCTCCAAATACATGTACATTTCACAAGTCTGTTACAAGAAGTAAATGATGTAAGGGACCTAGCACAATGCCTATCACGCACTGCAATGTTAGCTCATGTCATTATTTTCACAGTTGGAAGCAACCTTAGCTAAAATTTTTAAGGTGTGCCGAGACACAAAATTGTTAATTAATTTAGTACTTAAGTGTAAACTTGTGTGATACTGACTGTAAGCTCTTGGAAGGCAGGAACTATGTTTCTGGTGTCCCCCCTCCTGCAGAGAATTTATCAGATGCCGCTTCCAAGTTGTGCTTTAGTTGCCTGAAGGGAGGGATCTGTACTCGTCACTGCGTAAATTACCAGCAGTTACTACAGTGTCACAATATAAATTTAAATAATATCACCATCTTTGGGGAGAACTTTTTTTTTTTTAAAGAAAATCAGTGGGCATATGAAAACCTGAGACGCTAAAACAAATAAAATAACGTAAAAATAGAAAACAGAAGGTGAGATATAGACTTTAGATCAAAACACCAAAACCTTATCAAGTAACTGTTGATATAAATTCAGAAAACCGTGAGCCTCACGGACCTGAAACAGCCTGGAAAACACGTGAAAAGTAAACACTGCACAGGACCCGTCGGTGTCAGACAGCATCTGGCTGACGTGGCGGTGCCAGGCTTCTTCGTCGTCGTCATATGCAACCGGCTGAAAGGCAGCTATTATGGCAGAAAGAAATGGTGATGGCAGAGGGGAGGTCTGGACTTCTGGAAAGCCATCTTGCTCTTTTTCATCTTGACTGTTAATACAAATATCACAGTAATCACGACACCATCTGAAAATAGTTGAAGGCATCCAACACAGACCGTGTGTATTCAAACGCATGCATTGACTTAGAAAACGTACAACTGCCTAAACTTCCTAAGAGAGTCCAAATAAGCAGATCTCTGTGTTCTTTCTACGTGGCATCTCTGGAATTAGAAACTTAATTTCATGTAACCACCTCAAAGCAAACCAAGTCCTAGAATATGCCAGGGGAATGGATTAATTTCAGTGGCTTCTGTGAATAATTCAGATGAGAATGCTTTCATATTATGGGTGCCTCGGCGGCTCAGTTAAGCATCTGACTCTTGATCGTGGCTCAGGTCATGATCTTGCGGTTCACGGGGGTTTGGGCCCTGCAATGGGGCTCACACTCATTGTGAGTGTGGAGCCTGCTTGGGATTCTCTCTCTCTCCCTCCCTTTCCGCCCCTCCCCCACGCACATGCGCTCTCTTTCTCTCTCTCTCTCTCAAACAAATAAACTTAAAAAAGAATGCTTTCATTTTATTTTTTATTATTTTTAATGTTTATTTATTTTTGAGAGAGAGAGAGAGAAAGAGAGAGAGAGCACAAGTGGGGGAAAGGCAGAGAGAGAGGGAGACAGAGAATCTGAAGCTGGTTCCAGTCTCTGAGCCGTCAGCACAGAACCCGACATGGGGCTCGAGCTCATGGACTATGACATCATGACCTGAGCCGAAGCCAGATGTTTAACCAACTGAGCCACCCAGGCGCCTCAGAATACTTTCATTTTAAATGGTCAATTCTGGAGGCTTTTTAATTGAACAGGTGCAAATTGATGGTGATAACATGTAAAGGGGTTTTGGCTATTTGGCTGGTCAAAGGCTCGCTTAGGTCCTTTATATGGACTGTGAAGAGATATTTGAGTCAGACACTCAGTAGAGTGTCACTCAGGGTCTCAGAATTGCATGTTTCACATTGCAAAGGAGCTCTGAAGGCTTTGCAGAAATTGCAGAGCAATTCATGTGGAAGAGAGGCATCTGGGTAAAGATGGGCCAAAGATCAAAATAAAGCAGGCATTTGAAGTGGCAACTTAAGCTATACCTCAAAACAGTATATTTTTTTTTTTTAATTTTTTTTTTTTTTTCAAGGTTTATTTATTTTTGGGACAGAGAGAGACAGAGCATGAACGGGGGAGGGGCAGAGAGAGAGGGAGACACAGAATCAGAAACAGGCTCCAGGCTCTGAGCCATCAGCCCAGAGCCCGACGCGGGGCTCGAACTCACAGACGGTGAGATCTTGACCTGGCTGAAGTCGGACGCTTAACCGACTGCGCCTCCCAGGCGCCCCCAAATGAATGCTTTTTATTGTTAAGAGTGAAACTCTGAAATATTTGGTGATTACTAAATATTAATTTTTATATAAAAATAATTATCAAGGAGCTTGAAATAATTGAATGGGGAAATAGATGCACTGATAGGGTATTAAACTAGATACCTTTATAAAGAACAATATTTTATGCAACAAATATTTATAAAATTTAAATAATAAAAATTAAAAATAGATCTACCCTATGACCCAGCAATAGCACTGCTAGGAATTTACCCAAGGGATACAGGAGTGCTGATGCATAGGGGCACCTGTACCCCAATGTTTATAGCAGCACTTTCAACAATAGCTAAATTATGGAAAGAGCCTAAGTGTCCATCAACTGATGAATGGATAAAGAAATTGTGGTTCATATACACAATGGAATACTACTTGGCAATGAGAAAGAATGAAATATGGCTCTTGTAGCAACGTGGATGGAACTCGGGAGTGTGATGCTAAGTGAAATAAGTCATACAGAGAAAGACAGATACCATATGTTTTCACTCTTACGTGGATCCTGAGAAACTTAACAGAAGACCATGGGGGAGGGGAAGGGAAAAATAAAAAAAGGTTGGGGGGGAGGAGCCAAAACATAAGAGACTCTTAAAAACTGAGAACAAACTGAGGGTTGATGGAGGGTGGGAGGGAGGGGAGGGTGGGTGATGGGTATTGAGGAAGGCACCTGTTGGGATGAGCACTGGGTGTTGTATGGAAACCAGTTTGACAATAAATTTCATATTTAAAAAAAATAAAAAATAAAAAAATAAAAAAACAGATTATATCATAATTCTAATCATTATAGAACTATTTGGTTTACAGGTTTCATAACAGCCACCAAGATTTCTTTTAAGAACTATATGTAATAATTGATTATTCCATTTTGTGAGCCCATGAGTGAAGAAAACGCCCTTTGGGAATCTTCAGACTTTGTGACAATGTATTTTGAATACACGGAACATGAACATGTAAAAGGAATAATCTAACATCTGATGGTACTAAGAAGTTGTCACTTCTGCTCATTATGTAAATGATGACTTTACAACTCTGACCGCTGATAAGGAAAATGTAAAACAATGTTTTGCATATACGTCAGATTTTGTATAGCGTTACAGAAATTCATCGTATGATATTGATACTTGGCTCTGGCCAGGGCCCAATATTAACTTAACAACCGACCATTAGCCATTTTGCCAAAATAGGTGTTGGGTACGCTTCTAAATGCACAGTGTTGCTCTCTGTGCTTTAAGAATTACCTACTTGTTTTTCTTTCAGTGAACTGAAGGTCAATAACAAAAAATAAACCCATCACAGTCATTTTATCTTTTAAAAGGAAGGCAGCAGGATTATAGGCTAACCACAGAAATGAAGGTATGTAAGCTGGAGTAGAGGGTCCTGTTAGGGAGGGGCTGAGAGAGCAAATACCGCCTCATTCTAGTGACCAAGTTACCGTATTCTCACCTAGACAGTCCAGAGAAATCTGCTTCTTCTTCTTCACATCTTTCGTCTAGTTCTTTCAAAGCCAAGGTGACATCTTCTTCACAGATGGACTCAGGGTAGCTCTCAGGAGCCAGGGGCTCTGGCATGTCTGTGTCTTCCAAGTTGAGAATCCCTCGACACACGAGAGAATCCTGCTGTTCTTGAATTATATATGACCCTTCATCTTCAAAGCTTGTCAGAACTTGTTCCTCCTTTAACACTGAACCTGTATCCTGTAAAAACAATCGCATTTTTTAATGAAGTTTAAAAACATTTTAAAAAAGCTTTTATCAACACAGAATAAATGACTATTGCCATCAATATACACTTTTTTTTTTTTTTAATGAAGTAGTATTCTGTTTGCACAGGTTAATTTTTGGAGTTTCTGGGCTCAGATCACATAAAACAGTTTAAAAAAAAAATAGTCCCAGGCTTAAAAAAATGTTGAAATTAAATATCACCTATTGCCACATAGAAACATCAAGGAGATCACTTTTCTCGTAACAGGATTTAGGTGTTAGAAATATATTCTTTGGTAACATAACTTCTCATACAGATTCTCATTCTACATATGGTTACTATACATTCTCACTTATTTGAAATGTAATTTCTTTCCCAGTGAATTCTGGACAGAAGGTGGGGGGAGCAGGGAGATAATTCAGAATGGTTTACCCACTGGTCCTGTGGGGCTGTCCATGAAGCAGGAACAGGTACTGATCAGTCAGAAGGATGCTGAACTGAAACAAGTGCATCCTTACTGGTTGCTAAACGAGCTGAGTATTTGTGATGGAAGAGTTACTTTCAGGTAATAAGAGGACACTTCATCACAGAGTTAGAATTCAGCAAACCCTGGGAAATTTTAGACTGCCGTACTTTGCAAGTTGAACGAATTACAAGCGCATTCACCAAAAAGAATGCCTGCACTCGCCTAACTCTAGGCAAATGATGATACACTCCTATGTTAGGCACCAGTGGTTTTCCCTTCCTACTCACTGCAACATGACTGAAACAATGTTGCCACATGCCCTGCACCCACTGGAAGCCCAACACACACTGGCTAAATAAATGAACCACCACTCCTGAAAAAGAAAGATACTTCCAAAGCGTATGTGTACCATGAGGGTGTATCGACACAAATTTTAAGGTGCACAGATGTTAGTTTAATCCGAGCGAAAATAAGCACTGATGGTCTCCGTCGTAGGAATAAAGATCAGTTCCTTGCCGTGCTTGGTCCTAAATTACTACTTAGTTGTGCAGCAGAGTCACTCTTCTTCATGGGTCAAAGTAGAATTTTTCCTCCAAAATATGAAAAGCAAGTGAAAGAGCCCCTGACCTTAGACTAGTATGGGCCTCAGTCTATACATCTGTAAAATTCATCTGTAACATAAAACAAATGAAGGATTTTGACCAGATTCTGGGCTGGGTGCTCTGGGATAAATTAATAGCTATCTACAATTAATTTACAATCTAACGGGGTTAGGCTAATATGCGAATAACGGTAATATAGCATATATTAAGTGTAAGGTAAATATTATGTGCACTATATAAAGGACTGCTGTTACTCAAAGAAGGGAAAGGTCACATCTGCTTGAGGTAATGGAGACTAGTCTCTTTGGAGAAAACAACATATGATGGGCTTTTACAAAGATGGGTTAGTAATAGTGTCATGGACTGAATGTTTTTATCCCCTCAAAATTCATATGTTCAAACACCAACCCCCAATGTGATGGTATTAGGAGATGAGGCCTTTGGGTAGTGGAGGGGCCTCATGAATGGGATGAGTGCCTTTACAAGAAGAGGCCAGGGATCTAGCTAGTTCTTTTTTTTTTTTTTTTTTTTTTAACCATGTGAGGACACAGCAGGAAGAGCTACCAGGAAGAGAGGCCTCACCACACAATGAACCAGCTGGCACCTTGATCTTGGACTCCCTGGCCTCTGGAAGTGAGAAGCAGATTTCTTCAGATGCCCAGCTTCTGACATTTTGTTATAGGAGCCCAAGCTGACCAAGACAGCATTTCAGGGAAAAGGACATAGAAGATAGGAAAGAAATGTGGCACAGAAATGTGGCAGGAAAACACAAAACATGTTGAAGGGAAAATTGGCCTGGTGTTATTAAGCAGAGAAGGCAGCAAACTCTGAGTCTGCACAGAATAGCACTTTTTAAATAATACAGTACAATCATTCCTTAATCATTCCAAAAGCTTATATTCAATACGCTCTGTCTGCATCTGAAGTTCTTAAAAAAGATTTGGCCTGGGTGGCTCAGTCAGTTAAGCCTCCGACTTCAGTTCAGGTCATCATCTCACAGTTTCTGAGTTCGAGCCCCATGCCGGGCTCTGTGCTGACAGCTCAGAGCCTGGAGCCTGCTTCGGATTCTGTGTCTCCCTTTCTCTCTGCTCTTCCCCCACTCGTGCTCAGTCTCTCTCTCTCTCAAAAATAAACATTAAAAAAATAATAATAAAAAACAAAAAAAAGATTGGCCATTGAAATGGCAAGCATTAGTTATTTGGAAAGATAATTTATGTGACAGTGTTAGAGGCATTTCTATACCTAGAATTTTATTAGCATTTACTTTTCCTTCTACATCAACTGGAATATACCATGTTGAGATGACCCACCACACTTCTTAGTTTAATGCCCTCACTTTTCATTACTTTATACCTATATTTGGTTGTCATTTGTTATTGAATAACAATTACAAAATAGACGTTTTACCTGTAATTATTAACATATACTACATGCTGAAATTTTCTTTTTTTTTTTTTTTTTCAACGTTTATTTATTTTTGGGACAGAGAGAGACAGAGCATGAACGGGGGAGGGGCAGAGAGAGAGGGAGACACAGAATCGGAAACAGGCTCCAGGCTCTGAGCCATCAGCCCAGAGCCTGACGCGGGGCTCGAACTCACGGACCGCGAGATCGTGACCTGGCTGAAGTCGGACACTTAACTGACTGCGCCACCCAGGCGCCCCCTGAAATTTTCTAATAGCACTTAGATTTCATGAAGAGAGTGCTTTTGGGCTAATGGAATGGATTCCACTGTTATATGTACATTGTGAGACTCAAATTTTCTTGAGCTTTATCTTATTACACAATGATGTGTGTGTGTACACACACCACACACACAATTACATTCAAAGATTCATTTCCTGGGGCGCCTGGGTGGCTCAGTTGGTTAAGCATGTGACTTCGGCTAAGGTCATGGTCTTGCCGTTTGTGAGTTCGAGCCCCGCGTCGGGCTCTGGGCTGATGGCTCAGAGCCTGGAGCCTGCTTCACATTCTGTGTCTCCCTCTCTCTCTGCCCCTTCCCTGCTCATGCTGTGTCTCTCTCTGTCTCAAAAATAAATAAAACATTAAAATAAAAAATCAGAGATTCATTTCCTGTAAGGAGTAATCTCTGTCATCCATGAACTGGTATGTAAACTATTACAAATACTAGAAGAAATTCCTCTGTGAAGGTTTCTCTAATAAATACAAGTGAAGAAAGTAATCCCTTAACAGCTCAGAGTGTAATCTGTACACATTCCAGAGAAGAAAGGAGCAAACTGAGCTCTGAAAGTTTGTCATGACATGAAACACATCAGCCTGTTCTGTTTTATCTTCCTGATATTAACATCATTGAAGGGGAAAAAAACCCTCAAACAACTCTAGGATTGGATTCTCCCTTTAATTCAGAAAGTATTTCACCTATTCAAATTAACTCCTCATCTGGAGAAGTTAACAGAATTATGGTTTTACTTCATTATCTTGGTGTTTTCATGCCTTTTTAAAAAGGGCAATTTGAGGTCATTTGACACTCTCTGGCATACGAGGGAAAAACAGACTAGGCTAGCATACCTAACAGAAACAAACTCGTACTATTCTCCTTGGACAGCCATTCTTTGGTGATAATTGTAAAGTTAACAGAACTGTTTCCAAATGAAATCCTATGGCTTATGAATATCTACTTCATCCTTATTCACTTGTGTCAAAGCTTACAGTGAAAATGAAACCCACGACTGGAAAAGGAAATAAACCTAGTACAGTGAAGTGTTTTTCCTTTAGGAAAAAAAAAGTATCATCAGGAACTTTACAGTGTCTTGGAAACAAGCCATCAAATATAGTTGGATGAGTGACCGTCCCACCTAAAATAACAGTTTCCAATATATATATGGAAATATATGTGAATTTTCAGTTTATCTCCAATAAATATAAATATGACATGAATTTCTATCAGTAGTTTACTATGATTATAGCTATTTTAATAACCAAAAATAAAAGACTTCCCATTTGTCAAGTAAACAGAATTATGACACACAACCCTTAACCTCACTGCTTTTGTTAGGAAGGTATTTCTAGTACTGGGCTGTTTTCTGTGGTTTCTAATGAGACCTTTTCACATGCTATGATCCAAACCAGACACAGTCGATAGGTTATTAACAAGGAATTAAGGCTCACTTAACAAGCCTCCCAGCAACCGAAAAGGAAGACAGGCTACTTAAGGTGCATCTCTAAATCGGTCCAGTCTCTCCTGGAAACATTTGTAAGTTTCATGCACTCTTTCAGGCCCCCCTTATCTCATCTAAGGTTCTTCTGGTTTATCTCCTCTCGGCCTCCTCCCACCCACCCTCCACACTTCTCACAGAGACCTCACCAGAACACAAACCAGACTGGATGGACCCTCTCCTGATGACAGGTGCCTAGACTGCAAGCTTCATGTGGCAGGTGCAGAATCTACTTTCCGTATTCCACACCAAAGAAGAGATTTCAAAACGCAGACTCAATCAGATCATGTCCCTCTTCTGCTCAAATGCTCCGACGGCTACCTGCTCTGTGGCTGCAGGATCTGCCCACCCCTCTCCTCGTCCGTCCTCCCGGCTCCTGTTCACTGTGATCCAGCCCCACAGGCCAGCTTGCTCTTCACACACACCGTGGCCTTTTTAACGGCTGCTCCCTCAGCCTGGGACTTCCTCCCTCCACATCTCCTCGTCACTGAGGCTTCACTTCAAGTGCCGCCTTTTCTCCCTCACCGATTCCACATTTCTGTTAGATTTTCTTAGTACGGCTAAGAGGGTGATGAGTTTCTGATGTATTTATTCTGTCTTACCTGCTTATCATATCTTTTACTACAAGTAAGCTCCATAAAACCAGGAGGCTTTTCCACATGGCACCACATGCCCAGGGCCTAGAATAGTGACCAGCATGCAGTAGGGGCTCCATGGGTATCAGTGAAATCACCGAATGCTTGCATGACCTGTATTCTCGTTTAGGCATCTGGTACAGTGCTTGTCATGTAACAGGTATCTCTTCAATGACAATTCATGACTCGTGATCATTTTGAGATAAAGTCTACGTCTTCAATATGGCATGTAGGACCCTTCTCGTCTTAGACCCTACCCATCTCTTCTCCTCCTCCCATTTTATTCTTCAGAAGTACTCAATGTCCTGCGGTTACCTGAACATGCCATATTATTTCGCGCTGCCCTGTCCTTCCACATGGTGTCCCTCTGCCTGCGATGTTCCCATTGCTGGGACTGCCCTTTACCACCATCTCCCTGGTATACAGATGATCAGTCTCTCCTGAGTTTTCACAAAGCCCTGAACATGCTGTTATTATGTTTCTTGTACTGGAATGGAATGCTTTTTTTTTTCCTTTTCTTTTTTACACCTTCTCTATCTCTCTCAATTGACAATTCCGTCTCTGAGAGTGAGGGTCACCATGCCTTATTCATCTTTCTAGCATCTAATTCAATGCGTGGCATCTAAGAGAATCTCAATATTTGTTGAATTATCTAAACTTAAGCCATATTAGGCATACACTTAAAATGCCAAAAAGAGGCGCCTGGGTGGCTCAGTTGGTTAAGCATCCGACTTCAGCTCAGGTCGTGATCTCATGGTTCGTGGGTTCAAGCCCCACATCCAGCTCGGTGCTGACTGCTCAGAGCCTGGAGCCTGCTTTGGATTCTGTGTCTCCCTCTCTCTCTGTCCCTCCCCTGCTCACGCTCTGTCTCTCTCTTTCTCTCTCTCTCTGTCTCAAAAATACACAAACATTTAAAAAAATATTTTAAATGCCAAAATGCCTTCATTTCAGACTATGTTTACTGTTAAAAACATAAAATACACTATAAGCTTAATAAGAACATGAGAATTCAACTAACTAAAATAATGAGATCTAGTAATTACATTAATTTGGTTAATACTGAAAAAAATGTAGTATTTCCCTAATACTTACCAAAGCATAAAAGCACATATGACAGAACTATAGCAATTATAGTTAAAAAAAAAAAAAAAAGAAAGAAAGAAAAAGAAAAAAGAGTATAATAATCTTAAGGGAAAAAAACCACCAAGAAAACAAATACTTACTTATTTTTGGTCAGTCATTATCTTGGGATCTGGCTTACTTCTCACAGGCCTTTCCAAAAATCGTAATACTAGTAGTTCCAACATCTTTTTAAAAAAGGTTTCATTTAACCAACTGCTAACACAGCTGGCCTGAGGTCTGAATCCCAATCATAGCACCAATCACATAAACCCAAACACAAAGCAAAAAGAGAAGAAAAAATAAAAGCCGTCCTTCCAAGAAGATACAGCACCAGAGAAGATGCTCACCACCCCAGAGAAGCATCTGTCCATTGACATTGACCTCAATCACACTCTGCAGCACAAAATGCTCATTAAAAACACTCAAGATTATTTATAACCTGTGGGTCATTTCCTTAATCGGCCAACTTTTTTTTTTTTTTTTAAATCATCAGATTTGACTATTTCATTTAAAACAACCCAACAGGTTAGAAATACTGGAAACAAATCAAATAATTAGTGTATCAGATGAAAACTCTTTTGAAAGAAAAGCAAGGGATGTAACAGAGTGCTAAAAGGAGCCCAGATTGGCCAGGCACCAGCCCCCATTTCTCCCCACCTCAGGCAGCTGGCTGTTAGCATTATCTAGAGAAGCCTCCAAACTTGGGGTCTCATCTCTGATTTGAAGCACTTCTTCTGTTGAGACGCTGCCAGTGGAATCTTGAGACTGAACAAGTAGATCGGGATGGTCTGGCAGTGTTTCGTCTGCAGTAGAATCACTGTTTAACTGCAAGGAGAAACAGGAAAATAAGGAAGTCATCCGTGAGCCACACCGCCTCTGTATCTTATTTTGGGGGCTTAGTTAGAAAGAGCCTGACTTCCTAAAATTACCTCCCCCCCCCCCCACTCTGTGACAGAATCGATGCTGTTAATATGAGCAGCTAACCCAGCAGCATGAGCTGCATCCATTCATGCAGGTTAAGCTTCGCTAAATAAAAACTACCAAAGTGGAAGACCTCCGCATAACTACGTTCATCGTGAACCCAAATTCACTTTTTATGGTAATATGTTGTGTTTTCAGCCGGTGTGAACATTTGTGAGGACCGGGGCTCTCTCCCTCCCTGTGGCTCCAGGGCCCGGCAGGCAGTGCTTTCGCAAGAAGCAGCGTTAACCGGGGGGCAGGCACGTAAGTCTGAACAGGCTGTTCACTTCTCTAAGCCAAAATATGACAAGACTTCAGTCAGCCAAGAAGAATTAGGACAATAAAGTTGTTGTAATGGCAGTCTGTCATTAGTGGGTTTATATTCTTGGAAAAGAATCAGAAAAAAAGGGAATACTAGAGTTTTTCCTTTTATAAGCAGGGTTATAAATTCTTTACAGTCAGTAACATAAATCATCAAGTTTCTGATTCAGAGTAGGTAAAGGCAAAAACCATCATTCCCCCTGTGAAGAGGAAGCAACTTTGAATTCGTTTTTTTTTATTTTGTTACCACTAGGACTAGGGTTGGCCTTATAAGGAGATAGTTCTTTTCTTTTTTTCTCTCTCTTTCTTCTTTTTTTTTTTTTTTTTTTTTTTTTTTTTTTTTTTTTTAGTTTTCATTTTTATTTAAATTCTACTTAGTTAACATGTAGTGCCATATTGGTTTCAGGAGCAGAATCTAGTGGTTCATCACTTCCATACAATACCCAGTGCTCATCCCAACAAGTGTCCTCCTTAATGCCCATCACCCATCTAGCCCCAATCCGTCTACCACCTCCCCTCCAGCAACCTTCAGTTTGTTTTCAGTCCTTAAGAGTCTCTTGTCATTTGTTTTCCCTCTCTTTTCCCTTCCCCTCTGTTCATCTGTTTTATTTCTTAAATTTTACACATTAGTGAAATCATATGGTATCTGTCTTTCTCTGACTTATTCACTTAGCATTAATAAACTATATAAATGGCAAGATTTCATTCTTTTTGGTGGCTGAGTAATATTTCATTGTATATATATACCACATCTTCTTTATCCATTCATCAGTCGGTGGACATTTGGACTCTTTCCATAATGTGGCTATTGTTGATAGTGCTGCTATAAACACTGGGGTGCATGTGCCCCTTCGAATCTTTTTGTATCCTGTGGGTAAATACCTAGTAGTGCAGTTGCTGGGTCATAGGGTGGTTCTATTTTTAACTTTTTGAGGAGCCTCCATGCTGTTCTCCAGAGCGGCTGCACCAGTTTGCATTCCCACCAACGGTGTTAAGAGGGTTTCCCCTTTCTCTGCATCCTCACCAACATCTGTGGTTTACTGTGTTGTTAATTTTAGCCACACTGACAGGTGTGAGGGGCTATCTCATTGTGGTTTCGATTTGTATTTCCCTGGTGATGAGTGATGTTGAGCATCTTTTCATGTGTCTGTTAGCCATCTGGATGTCTTCTTTGGAAAAATGTCTATTCCTGTCTTCTCCCATTTCTTAACTGAATTATTTATTTTTTGGGTGTTGAGTTTGGTAAGTTCTTTATAGATTTTGGATACTAATCCCTTATCAGATATTTACAAGTATCTTCTCCCATTCTGTCGGTTGCCTTTTAGTTTTGTTGACTGTTTCCTTCATTGTAAAGAAGCTTTTTATTTTGATGAGGTCCCAGTAGTCCAGTTTTGCTTTTGTCTCCCTTGCTCTGGAGACGTGCTGAGTAAGAAGTTGTTCCGGCCGAGTTCAGAGGGGTTGGTGCCTGTGTTCTCCTCTAGGATTTTGAGGAGACAGGCAGTTCTATCCCATGGCTCTCATGGGAGCAAACCTCTGTTAAGCATTTATTGTAGGCTGGGTGGCCTTCCTCCTCATAAAATTCCCATGAGGCAGACACTATCCAGAGTCCAGTTTTAAAGGGGAAGTTAGGTAGGTTGACCACAGTTACACAGAAGGTTGGCGGCACAATGCCACGGTCTGGCTCCACGGAGGGCTGGTGCCTCCTTCAGTCACTGTTGCCAGTAACTCGATTAAATGAAAGTAGTCCCAAGGAGGACGAAGCGTTAGGTGGCATGGATGTGGAGGCAGACGGCTTGGTTCCAGCCTACTTAACTAGTAGCTATGTGTCCTGGGACAAGTGGCTCGTCCTGCAGAATTGCGATAACGGTACTTACTTCATGTGGTTGGGGGGCGGGGCGTTCTGCAGACTAATAGATGCCAAACACCCTTCACAGAGGCTGGGGCATGACAAGCATCCAGTGAGTGGTAACAGCTGCTGTTATTATCATCAGTTGCTGTTCATCATTTAACACTTACATGAGGGTTGACTGAAAGACATCGTGGGACGACAATGAGATGCCCAAATTGGAGAGGTGACCGGAAGCCACGTGCAAACTGGCAACTTCCCATTTTGTTTACAGCCAGAGCAGCCCCTGCCACTCGACACTGCGGCCAGCGCTCCACCAGCCGACTGAACGTGGAGCAAACAGGGGCAAAAGAGAGGGCATGGCTGGGCTCAGTGTGAAAAGGGTATCCCTTGAGAGCTAGGTCAGTGCAGCCTGCTGGCAACACTGATTCCTATCTATGTGCCCCGCGGGGGCCCTTCCATACCTCCTTTCCTCCTGCCACCCCTTTCACTCCCACATTTCTGAGCAGGCAGACTAGCCTTGCGGGCTTCCTTTTCTCATGTTTCACTCACTCTTTAATCTCTGCCATGCAGCCTCTGGGCCACAAGTCGGAACCCCCACATATAACTGACCTGATCTCGAAAGGCACAAAGCTGTGCTCGATCTTTCCACGCCAACCAGCGAAGAAAAGTGGGTGGCGGATAAAGCAGTGTTGGTGTCCACACGGATACCAAAACTACGTGTCACTCAAGATGAGGACCTCTAGAAGTGTCCAGAGCGACTCGCCATCACTAGGAGAGAAGGTAACACTGTCTCAGCTGCTGAAGGGTGTGCGGCATAAACGTAAATGTTGAGTAATGTCATGAACAGCACGCTCCGTTAGCAATGCAACTCTGTATTTTCATTTCGGTGTGTGCGGTTTACCCAAAGTGAAATGAAAATCGGAAAATCCAGAGACAGTAATTACTAAGGTGGAAGTTAAGAGGAGAGTGAGACCAACTGTCGCTGTATGAGAAGGTAAGTGTGTACCATCTGTGTGCGGGACAGTATCTGGCTTGCTGTGAGAGCTGCTTCCTCTTCCGAGGACTCGTCCGTGTCTTCTTGGTTGGTCAGGTTCAGGCTGGGGGTGCTGCTGGAGCACTGGTACTCTTGGAGGGAGGGAGTGTCCCCTTTGTCAATACTGTCCAGTGAGCGCCTGCGGACTCCCCAGTTGAAATTGTCCATACTTTCACCCTGGAAAAGAAAGACATGATCTCTAAGGCCTCAGATACATGTGTATAAATACAGTAAACACAACACACCAGGAAAACATGTACTGAGATGAAAAATACTCAATGCATCATCATAAGCAGAGTTTCAATCAGCCCTTCAATTTCTCGAAACTTTTAAAACATCGTTAAATATTCATATTTAAAGAGATCACAATATTTGGTTGAGCCTGTTTTAACTAAATAATTTTCTTGACCTCCTATATTGTATGACTGGGGACCGACTAAACCTACTGTCTAGGCCATTTCTATTCTAATGCCCAAACACAAATGAGACCACGAAGAAGACGAATACATCACAGACAACGATACATAAACAATCCACAACACCAGGCTGCAACTTACCTGCAGTTCCTGGTTAGCAAAAAGGAAAACACACAGAATTAGAAAGAACGAAGACAAACATTTAAATATACGCTACACTTTTGGGGGAAAACTCTTTGTGATTTCTCAAACCCAAAGACTGATTCAAGCTCTGGATTAAGCTCTGAGTAGAAAGCCAACATGTGATTCAAATTACTTTTTTATGCAAAATATATTATGAAGAAGTCAGAGACAGACACTGAAAACAACATTTCTGTGATACACTTTGCAAACACGAACTTTCAGAAAATCTTCAAGATTTACATAGATTTAATACTTGATACAATGCAAAACTGACTTAAAGTACCCACATTCAGTTGACAACATACAGGGTCACAATTATTTTCATCTAGAGAATGTTTCTGGCTAAACCCAGTGGCCATTTTTTACAATAAAATAGTCTAAAATCAAGATCAAAGCCATCAAAACATAACTTTTGACAAGTTCAAAAGGTCAAGAGGAAATAGGGCAGATTTCAATTTCACCCCACTTATGGATTTATAGAAGTTATGTTTCTGTTATTCTAAGCTGATCCTCCTTTTGCAAGGATATAATTCTTACACTCGCTCTTAAGCCCTGATATGACAAATGACAATGAGTTGGCCAGCAATATAGGATTTATTTGTGTTCCTTTACTCAAGAGGCACTGGCTAGGATAGAGGTTTTCAAATCCTTTTTTTTTTTTTTTTTTTTAAATAAAGCAAAGCAATACTTATTTCGAATGAAATTTAAAATGGAAGTCAACCGTGCAAAGCTGATGAACTAAACCCAAGCCGCTCTGGCTCCAAAAGGTAACAAGGAGCTCTTTGCCTGCACTCTGGGTACAGCCTTGAAGTCTTAGAAACCCTGTAGGTCAAAGTTCGAAAAGCCACCTTCCTACCAGATATTTCAGTTATTATTATGTAGCACAGTACATAATAATGGCAACAGCCCTAAATATTTGTTTGGTGAATGAATGACTACACACGGGGAGCTTCCAAGGTTGGCAGGTGTTTGGGGGGTATTTTAGAAGTTTAATTAACAGTTTCATTTGTTTTGTAGCAAAGTATTTCCTACTACCATGTTTTAAGCAAGACTATATTTAGGTTTTAAAGAATCTCTACTATTTGAATTGTCTAATGATGAGGCATACATGAACACCACCCACCCAAATCACTATGACTTGAATTAAAGACAAAACTACATTAAGCGTCTTTAATTCAATTTGCCAAAGTTCTGTTCAAAATCCATGTTAATTAGTACCTATGTATTAGGGCGTGGGATAAACTTGGAAGCATTTACAGAGGTCTTAAAAAAAAAAGAAGATAAAAAAGCAAACAAAATAAATAACTTTACCATTACAAACATGTCAAGAGCCTGCCTGCCTTCACAAATTTTAAACTCTCAATTGAAAACAAATAACTGCATTAGAGTTTAGGAGCTGCTCATGCCCTTGTGGTCGGGCAGCAAGGCTCTTCAATCCATCAGACTTTCTTGCCTGATTATTCAAGTCAGTCCTACTTCTTACAACGTGTTTTTGAAACTGGGGATGTGAAATCAATTTTAGAGGATGGTGATCTGCCACTTTGGAAAAAAAAAATGAAAGACAATAGGAAATATCAGCGTGCATAACAGCATAGGGTGAGGCTGCATATTCTTTTTATTTTTTTTCAAGTAACCTCTACACCCAGTGTGGGGCCTGAACTCACAACCCCAAGATCATGAGTCACACGATCCACTGGCTCCACTGAGCCAGCAAGGTGCCACAAGGCTGCGTATTCTTGAAACTTTCATTTTAAAGGTATGTGTATCTACTTGGATGTGATATAAAATGTATTAAGTATGGATCACAGTAAAAACAAAAACAAAAAAAGTTTAAAAGCCACTGCCCTATGAGGCCGAATAATACTTGCTTGGGGGCTCCTGTGAACCTATCCATGTGTCTTTGGGAACATGTTCATGCCGAGTACAAAGGCAATTGGTCTGACCCTGAGCCACCATGGTTGTACCCTTCTATATGCAAAGGAGGATGAAGCATGTAGGAGGACCTCCTTAAACTGGTCTCCTGTCCTCAACTAATGATGTGACACGGCGCAGGCCATTACATTTCATCCCTCCTCACCTATTAGAGCCAAAGGAAACATCCCTTCAAGAGGGTTAATCAATGCATTTGAGTTATGTGAGCGACTTTAAATTCTTTGGAGAAAGATGTGTCAATGACATGGGATGGATACCGGATGACAAGGCATTTTGGGCTTCTCAAATATAGGTTATTTGTATACATTTTAGAATGAACACTTTTGAAACTTATGTGACAAACGTTTTAGGTTTAGGAGTTGCAAGTTTAGGGGGATGAGCTACAGGAATAGGTCCCGAAGAGCCTCACAATGTCAGGGCAATCCTGTTCTCTTTGCCACAATGACTGTTTCAGAAATTGGCAAATGATCCAGCTTGACCCACTCATGTAACAGGAAGTGTGCTGAGGACGTTCAGGAGAGCAACTTCTTCACTGTTACAAAAGTGACCTTCATTTGCTTTGAACACTGCTGGATGTGGACATAACCATGTGACAGAGACTTGCAGAGAAGGGCGGAGCCTAGCCAACTGCAGAGAAATGATCAGAGACCTCCCTGAGCCACATCTAAATAAGCTATAACCCTCTGGACTACCTCAGTTTTGTAAGCTCGTAAATCCGCCTTTTGAGTCCGATTTTTCATTTCGAAATCATCCAAACTGACACATACCTATCGATTTAATCTAGACTGAATCAACTTAGAGGAGAGAGCCCCTTGGTGCTACGTGAAAGGAGTCATTTGAGGGGGCTGGCTACAATACGAAGAAGAAAACAGTGAGGATGTCGCAGGTAGAATCTCGGTCATTTGACACAGTAGAGAGTTCTGGAAAGTCAAAGCCCTCGAAATCATGTGAGTTCATTTAATTTAACTTAGTGTTAAGTGTTTGTACTTATACTTTAAAATAGTGTTAGATAAATTTTAATATAATTTTTTACCATTTTGCTGCATATTAATTTGTCTGTCTCATTTGAAACATAAGCATATCCTAAATTAAAGACATAACTTTGGAAGAAACCCATTTTTCACTTTTTATTTCTTGGGGCAAAGAGTAAGAATTAGACGTTCCTCTTCTGTTTCAGACTACTTCTGCTAACTGACCAACCGTACTAGTCACGTTTATTTCCCAATTTAGATTTTTACCTTTAAAAACATTTTTGTTTAATTCGTTTGTTGTTTCAAGTTTTTATTTAATTTCTAGTTAGTTAACATATAGTGTAGTATTAACTTCAGGAGTAGAATTTAGTGATTAGTCACCTATGTGTAACACCCAGTGCTTATCACAAGTGCCCTCCTTAATGCCCATCACCCATCTAGCCCGATTTTACCTTCTTGACCTCACACTGACCTTAATAAGGAAAGATGCTATGGTCAAACACTTAATTCTCATATACTTGCAACTGTAAGCTATAAATATACGGACTGCCCACATCCTTACCTCTGCATCTTCCAATTCAACATCTAAAAAGTCAAAATCCTTAAAAACGCCAAATTGTTGTTCACTGCTGTTGTCTTCCACGGCCACTTCTTCCTCTTGAATCATGTCTTCTGTTGCAGAAATTAGGCTGGTCTGTTGGTCACCAACTTCCAAATCCTCATTAGAAGAAAATACAACCTAAGGTCCAGCCAAAAAAAAAAAAAAAAAAAAAAAAAAAAAAAAAAAAAAAAAAAAAAAAAAAAAAAAAAAAAAGGCCACCCGTCAGCATTGTCACTCTGCTCATGAGACACTGGTGCCCGAAGAGCCACCGCAGGCTTCATCTGTCAAAGAATTCAGAGCTTCAATCTGGTTTTCATGCTAAAGTCGAACTGGTTGAATACTTAATTAATGTAACTTCCAAGTACCATGGAGACCATATCTTTTTCATTCTTAGTTAATGCCATGAAATAAGGGAAGTTAGAAAAGGCAAGCAAGGAGACAGAATAATTTCCATTTTTTTTAATGGAGTAGTAACAGGATTTTTACAGCCTTTATGCATGCAATCATGATTACTCACGGATGGATTCTTTGGAAGGCCAGATTCTGGACCACAGAGAGAAAGCACATTCATTAGCTTTTCTCTTGTTCTTCGCTAAGGGGGAAGAAAAATGCAAATGCTAGGATTACTGATAAGTAAGACAAATTCTCAAGCTGTCATACATACAACAAAATTGATTCTTCTGTAGATGTTCGGTTCTGATTTTTTTTTTTTTTTTAATGTACCTGTGATAACTGTGGCCTTTTCCAGCTAACAGGAACCAAGGCATTAGAATTAGAACCAGAAGAAGTAGAAGAAGTACTCCTAGTAACTGCAATAACTTTGGGTTTCCCATTTCTTCCAGCTGCACTATGCTGATCGCCATACTTATTTCCAATGATTGGTGTCTGCAGAGAAACAAAAAGGACAGTGTTTGACTGGGATATTTCACCATAAAGGGGTTAGTAGTGGATCTGTAAGGACTTTTTTTTTTTCTTTTTACAAACAACCAAAAAAAAAAAAAAAAAAAAAAAAAAAAGCAAAGGAAGATAACAGCATAAAGTAGATGTTACAAAAATCAAATGGAATGATGTCTTTTAAAAAATTAATTTATTTTTTAAAATTTGTTTGTTTATTTAAGTTATCTCTATACCCAGTGTGGGGCTTGAACTCACGGCCCCAAAATCAAGAGTTGCCTGCTTTGGGCGCCTGGGTGGCTCAGGTGGTTAAGCATCCGACTTCGGCTCAGGTCATGATGTCACAGTTTGCGAGTCTGAGCCCTGCATTGGGCTCTGTGCTGACCGCTCAGAGCTTAGAGCCTGCTTCAGATTCTGTGTCTCCCTCTCTCGCTGCCCCTCCTCTGCTCACACTGTCTCTCTCAAAAATAAATAAACATAAAAAAAAAATTAAAGAGTTGCATACTTCCAATGAGCCAGTCAGGCACCACATGATGTCTTTTTTTTTTTTTAATCAGGAGACTTCACTTCACTGAAAATGACTCCCTGAGAAGATGAGACAATCAGACAGCTCATTCCTATTTTATTATTATCTTCTTAAGTTTATTTATTTATTTTTTAAGTTTTACTTATCTATTTAGAGAGAGAAAGCACAGGCAGGGAGGAGCAGAGAGGGGAGACAGAATCCTAAGCAGGCTCAGCGCCAACAGCACAGAACCCAACGTGGGGCTTGAACTCACGAACTGAGAAATCATGACCTGAGCTGAGATCAAGAGTCGGACGCCTAACTGACTGCACCACCCAGGTGTTTCTTAAGTTTATCTCTTTAGAGAGAGAGCACGAGTGGGGTAGGGGCAGAGAGAGAGGGAGGGAGAATTCCAAGTAGGCCGCATGCTGTCAGCACAGAGACTGATGCGGGGCTTGAACTCATGAACTGTGAGATCATGGCCTGAGCCAAGATCAAGAGTCAGATATTTAACCAACTGAACCGCCCAGGCGCCCCTACTTACTCCTATTTT